AACCAGAAGTCCCTAAGAGTGTGTGTGTGTGTGTGTGTGTGTGTGTGTGTGTGTGTGTGTGTTTGCAGAAGAGATAGTAATCCCTTTAATTCCAGCCCTATAGACCTAATATAAGTGCTAGGAAACATTTCTCAAATGAGTACATAGTATCTAGGAACACAGAAAAGGAGGGTGGGATTTTTATTTGACATTTTGGTATCTGGGAAATATTTTATATATAAAGGGTACTTTTTTATTATTATTCAATTGTATAGATTCAGTGCAGTGTTTCAATGGATAGCATGTCTACACTGTCTTTATATTTGTGTCTTCAGAAATTCCACCCTCATCCAGGCAAGACCAGCGCAAGGTTTCTGGGCAGTTCTCCATTGCAAAGGCCTTCCAATGTGCCCTGGGGAATGAAACCTTCTGATAAGCTTTATCTCTTCCTTCTCCATTCTTTCTTTTCCTTTTAAAGAAATACTGAGGGTAAAGGAAGAAATTCATTCCTTAAATCTACATTTTTCTCTTTTAATAACCTATTTCTGACTGTGACTACACACACACACACACACACACACACACACACAAACACATACAAAATCGACATATATGTGTATATTAAATTTGAGTGGTTGTTTTGGTGGTTTATTTTTGCTTAATTTGACAAATTTCAAAATAATTACCTCATAGAATACCAATAAAATCAGAGCATTTAGTGACTAGCCAGTTTGGCAATATTTTGATCACACAAGCATTTTCAGTTTCTTCTCTTTCTTAGACAAGCAGAAATAACCTTGGGTGGGGAAAAAAAAAATCACAAGACCCGGAATAAATTTCTGCTAGAGTATCTCTTGGAAATGAAAATTAAATGATGGATATAAATGACTGCTGTCTGTGGTGTATAATGATCTCAAATATATTTATTACAAATTTAACCAGAACTTCTCCCCAAGGTACCTCAGTAGGTGTCTGATTCCTGATGTCCACTGAATTCTAGTAAGGACAGAGGGGTGTGGAGATGGGGAAAAAGTCCTCAGTGCTAACCTCAGATACTCCAGTGAAAACAATAGCAGGGTGAGCAGATAAAGTCTTAATAAAAGAGAGAGCAAGCTTCTAGTACTTGGATGATTTTTTTTTGTCATGAAAGCCTGTATTGATTGCACGTGTATTGTTACCTGTGGAAGAATTATGAGATTAGAAACAATCTCATTGTTGGAAATGAATTAGAGAATTTTTTTACTGAAAAGTTGTCTTTGTGAAAGCTTCTAACTTATCTATACATAAAAGTTTCTCTGTCAAAGAGGGTAGCTGATCTAGTTCACCTTTGATTTTCCTTCCAAACTGAATATTTTGTTTTCCAGGCATTGTATACCAGACTTTACCTGGTTACCATGTTATTTAATCATTTCAACATGACTCCTTAAGAGTGACATTTAATTTTCATAGGAAAATAGATATGATTCATGCTGTGTTTATTTTTAAGGTAAAATTACCTATACTGGGTAATGAAGAAGTAATGGCCACAAAAATACCCAATTACGAAGATTGAAAATCAAATGTCAAAATTTTACTTTATATTTGTTTTTCCTAAAGAAAGTGAACATTTTTCAAAGACAGAGCAAAGAGGTCTCCAGGGAAGACATCAGGCCATAGATAGACTCATTAGTCTATAATAAAGCTATGTAATGATATTCTCAATTATTTGCATCTCAAAAATTTTAACAGCCTTTCTTACTAATACATAATACATTCTCTGAAAATACTTTTCAATTATGGTTACAATGACTGATTCAGAGAGCACAGTAGACAAAAGAATGCAAGGTTCACTTATTGGTTATTATTTCTACTTTTGACAAAGCAAATTATCAACATGCTCTTCTAAATATCATCCTGACTAATGCCGATTCTTCCAAATATTATTTGTCTTGGTCAAGATCCCAAATTCTGAATACTTTCTTAGTCTTCAATAAAACAATGTGATATGTTAAAATACTTGAATCAAAGATAGTAAATTTCAATTGTGCTGTGCTTTTAGTTATAAGGATTCTATGGAGTAGTTTACAAAGTTGAACTGGGGGAAAACATTCATATTTTTCTACTTGTTTTTGGTGTACATAAAGGTCTGATGCAACACAAACACAATTGTGCAATACTTTTCATTGATGCTATCCTGTTGAATAAAATTTTAAGGGCTTCAATGTTACACAGAATACATAGTACACATGATATTGTTTAAACTCAGTGACATGGAAGACAGATTCAGCTATCTTTCACAGGAAATGTGGGAAACAAGAAAGTATAGTGGTTACCATCTAAGGTTTATTTTTCACAGTCTGTTTATGATTCCTATCTTTATAAGTAAATGTCTGGAAAATAGATGTATTTGTTCAAACTAGAACATATGGAAGAACATTAAAAACTCACATTAAAAATCATTACACATTTTTAAGTATCTCCTGGGTATAAGTTAATGAGAAATGCCTTGACTGTCTTGTACAAATTAAATCTAAATAAAAAGTGAATTCCTCAATTTTTAATAATTGATATATTTTGGCAATATTTAAAATAAAGAATGTAAGTAACACAGAAGGATGCACAGGAGAAATTTTACAATTGTCATTTTTTAAAAATATACTCAGAAATAATCTCTTGTGCCTCTGATAAAATTTTGTTTTGAGGAAAAGAAAAGTGTCATCTTCCAAGAAGCCATTTCAGAATGGCAGCCACTACTGTGTGGAAAATGAATGT